GGCCGAATCATCTCGATCACAATCAACAGTGACAACTTGACGCTCGTGAACGGCATGATATACCGCGTGTCAGGCGGTAGTGGCATACCCAGCCAGTTGAAGAACAAACCGCGAAAAACTACACTAAGGTAGGCTGCAATCAACACTGCCTCCACAATTCGAAGCGCGACAATGTGCGGAGTGAGGAACTTGAAGCCGCTGGACTTAATCCACGTATCCACCTTCACGAAGATGACAGCAGCCATCGAGCCTGCCACAAACGTTGGCAGGTGGGCGCTCAGAGGCTGACGGTAGAAGTTGTCTCGGATCGTGTATAGACCCTCGTGAATGACCCAGGCATACAGTGGAATGAACGACATCCACCAGAAACGCCCCATCTTGAGCACGGCGAGAACAAACGCAGGTAGGATGAAGTAGTACGAGATCTCGAGGGGTAGAGTCCACAGCAAATAGTGTCGATGTTCCGGATGAAAAGTGAGAGTTTGGAACAGATTAAAGTCCTCGGGCTTCTTCACTAAATAGTACTGATTCTTGTACTCGAACGGCATGAGCCACAGTGTAATTGACAACAGAGCGAACAGCGGGTACACTCGAAAGAACCGCTTCGAGAAATAGTCGATCAGTGTGAGCCCCCACTTTCGGTAGGATGCCGCCTCGGCGATCAACTTGATGCTTTTCTTCATAAAAATCATGGTCAACAGGAACGAAGACAAGACGAAGAAGGCATCCACACCGACAGCGCCCATGAAGATGTCGTGCATATATCCAGAGTGCTGGGTCACTACAAACACTACCGCAGCTCCACGCACTCCATCCAAGAACAGAATCTTCGACACCGGTGACAACGGACGTTCGTTTGGCTTGTTACGTGGGAATCCTTCCTCAACCTTGGTTATTTTCGTGTTGTGGGTTGTCGTATTGGAAGCCTTCTCTTGCAGCGGCACCTCCTGTTTGGTCCCGTCGTCTTCGATGACTTGGATTGCATGCATCATGATGTGGGGCTACCAAAGAATGCCGCAACAAGGCTTAGCCAGTGTGTTGGAAAGTCGAAGAATGAACTGTGTCCGCAAGCACAAGTATAGTCAACAGCACGGCTGGCTGGGATGACGGAAAAGGCTACTCGTTTCTAATCAAACGCGAAATCAATGCGGGATGGTACAGATTTGCCGTCGGCAATCATCTTGTCCGTACGGCAAATTACGCATAGAAAGCAAGGTTATTAAAAATGTCGTCATATGTCCAGATGATATACGGAAAGTTCAATTCTAAGATGCAAACAGCAGGACAACTGTGTGGCAGCGCTTGATACTTGCCTGTAAATGGGTGCAACATGAGATAACGAGGTGTGATCGTTAATAGGAAAAGTCATCACTGTTGTGAATATATCGTAAGTTTAACCACCGGTAAGTTTTGCACGCGGTACGTGATACTACGTGTGTAGTAGTATTATAGATCGTCGTGCATTGCACGACGATCTATTGTGAGCTTATTGAATCCGACGGTCAGTCGGGTCCACCTCGACGTTGAAGGCTCAGTACGGAGAAAGAGATCACTCTGTATCGCAGGTGGAGATGATGATGATCGAATGGTGATGTGTACAACTGCACGATGATTATTTCCGTGCTCAATCGGAGTCCGAATTCAAACGATTTGGCTTCAAAGAAAAGGAAGTTTGCCCACAAAAACTGCAACTACTGTGCATTTATCACGGAAACTAATTCATAACGACAAATTACGCGTCAATTTGGCCATGCCCTACCAGTGTTGGGGGGGAATTCTGCTGCGATACAATATCCATGCAAGGAAAAAAGCATGATGATTACAACGCAGTGCGGTCGGCACCATCCACATAATCAATGTGCTGTTTGGTAAACAGATCCCATCCTTGACGCTCCATACATACCGCACTGAAGTACTATGCGAGGGCGTTCTTGAAAGAGACAATACACCGATAGGAGCATATGATAAACGATTGGAGCATATGATCAACAACAGGTCTGGTTCGCTGCATTGTTGATAACAGACTTGAAAACTCTCACACACAGACTGCGGACACTCTCACGGTATGCTACAATAAGTAAGTACTTCAGTGCATGTATTAACCCTTTTGAGACCAGAGGCTCCCCTTTTCATAGTAAAAAAAAGAAGGAGAAATCCAGTTTATCGACTGCAACGTAACATCATAATGAAAACGCAACGCGTGGTATTTAACCGATCACATACATGCCAGTTGTGACTATCGAAACGAGTCTTTATTAATGAAGGCCTAAGTGATCCAAACGAGATCGCTGTTGTTCTGGCAAAACAGTAGTAAACGCGCCATGGTGTTGCTGTAGTTTGTCTTAGACCCACAGGACACTTTTTTAAGCCAAGTGCTGCATATCACTTGTCATATTTTTGAGAGAAATAATCGTCTCTGCAACTAGCGAAAGTTTGTGCGAAACAAGCGAAGCTATGGGGGATCCCCGCAATTCTTAGGCCTGACTTCGCCTTTACTAGTAAGCGCAAAGAGCCTTGTGCTTGTGCAATGGACAAGTCCAGCACGCTATGGTATCGCGAATTTTGAACGGAGGGTTTCGGGATTGGAGTCGTGAATGTAATCGAGTAACGTTCTTCAAACGATAATGCATACCTTCCAATATCAGTTTCTTCGGTGAGATACCGGTATCACAAATTGCCTAAGAAAGGTTTTTCGGGCTGAATGCCATCCATGTCCCTTTTTTTCATTAATGGGTAATAAAGCGATTAATTTGTTTTTTGAGTAAAACAATATTGCGATGGTCGAGCCACAATTATTGTACAATTCAACTAAAATAAATTTCTAAAAGCAAGCCTACATAATCGGTGGCACTAGCCATTCGGTGTCGTAATTGGCTATATCAGTTTTCAACCAAAATCCATTGAGCTCACTTGCCATTCGGCGCTCCAAGTCGCAATGAAGAACTTGCTACAGCTCTTGGGTACGCCGCTATCAGACCGCCAAGAGCATTGCATCGCCTTATCTAACCTTGTTGTTGCAGTGGTATTGCTGGCGGTGACGTTAGTACCGCTCACATGGTACACCACGCTCATGCCCCGTTGGCTGTCGCAGTCGGGTGAGCGCAACTCCACCGTCTACTACTCGCAGGGCATGGGACTCTGGCTTAACTACACGGAACACGTGGGTGACCCGAGATTCGACCCTGGAAATTCGCTGTGGGTACCACCGCAAGAGAGCGGAGCGGATACCTACAGCGCACAATGGTACGTCGTACCCAAGTTCGGGCACGCTAAAACTGCTTCGAATTAACTCAGACTACAGTGCTGGACAGCAGGTATTCTGCGCCAATGCTGTGGGGGAGCTGTATAAGCAATATTGCCAAGTGATGGAGGTGTATTGCGGGACTGCCATGACTTTTCTACAGTTAATGATGTCGATGATGGCGGGGTGTGCCGTGGTGGTG